CATCCTCTAGCCCCGCGTAATCAATCTCTGCCCGTCTCCTGCAGTACCTAATCAGATCGATTGGCCTCAGACAGTCCACCCAGCTAGTAACGTCTATGATGTCGTCAAGCGTCTCTCTACTGGGCGGCCCCCACCTCACACAAATGGTGTAGTATACTTCCTTGAAGCGGGGCTCTAAGCCCTCCCAGAGCGCGTAAAGTGTGTGGTCCACTGCTTTACTCAAACGATCCACGCTCCCATAGGTCTGCCCTATCACGAAGGTAGGAAGTCCGAATCGCCAATCCTCTCTCGGGTAGAGGGTCGGATGTGGTGGACCGTATACCAAGCAGCTCCAACTGGTCCTCCCTCCAGAGAGTCTCGCCAGTTGCTGATTAACGATCACTCTGGCCAACGACTCGCTTCTCCACCAACTCCTGCTCACCCCTGCGAGCGCCAGTCCTATCTCTAAATCGTGTGCTCTATCCGCTATCAGATGTCCGACCCCTTCTAGATCATGAGTCCTCTCGGGCCGTTCGTCTCGTAGTATCACTGTCCAAAGAAAGAGCCCCTCTGCGAGCCACGTTCCCAAGTATCGTATCGGTACACGCCCTGCCTCTTCTAACGCCACAGGAAGTGGTATGTCGTATCCAACCGCCGTCTCTCTAGGTCCCACAAACTTCCTCACACTATACGATTCGGACTCTCGTGAGAGAACATAAGCTAACCAGGCAACTGAATCACTCCTCATCTCTTCTCATACTCTCGATCAGCATCACTCTACTCTCTCCGATGCACCCCATCTCTCGACGTTGCTAACCCTTCAGACAACTCTCGCACTCAGGTCCAGTATGGTCGAGTAGGATCAGTAGCTAAGCTCACTCAACCGTCGCCCTAATGTGCTCCTCTACCTCCTACGCCCGGACTGCTACTCCTATCCTGGGAAAATGGGAGTCTGTAACGTCAATCTCCTCCTCGTCAACCTCACTCTCTGGGTCGACCCAGTCTGGCTCCCAGGCGTCCTCGTCGTCCTCTCGCTCCCAACCCTCGTCGTCAAACTCGTCCTCGACGCGGTATGGCGTCTGTCCTATACCCTGATAGTATTCTGCCAACTGATGGCCGTATATCAGAGGTCGCCCGGCGTCCTCACCCCACCAGCTCTCCCAGTCGTCTGAGAAGAGCTGCCCGATGCAGGTCACGTACTCGGGGCCTGCTCGGAGCTCACGGTCTAGCCAATCCCAAACGCACGGAGACTGGGGCCACTCGTCGTCTATCGAGCGGATCAACTCTATAAGCTGAACCCTCTCGTCTCCCCAACGAGGCCCACCGGTTGTGAGCGAATAATAGATGTAGTCTAGGTCGGCAGGCCTTCTCGCCAGGATCTTGAGATCCTGATAGGCCAGGAATGTGTCGACCACTCCACCAATACCTCCAAAGACGCTCTCTACTACGAATGTCGGAACTATCGCCCGCAGACTCCTAACGCTGTACGGGAAAAACCCGTCCCGTGCTACCACCAGCTCGCCCGATATCAAGAGGAGGGCGTCCCTGAAATAGGGTCAACGGGTCGCTCGAGTCCTCCGCTCGGAAGGCAGCTACCTCTTCCCGTAGGTAGCGTAACGCCCTGGTAACTGTGCCACTAGTCCCTGTCGTCGCGAGGCCCACCACGGCCTCCCTGACCGCACCCGGTCCCTAATACAAGTAGGCTCTCACTACGCCCACTCCTTGCCCCGGCCGGTGCTCTCTGTACGTCCAAAGCCACACGTGCTCGGACAAGATTATGGACCTCCACGCAAACTGGCCGTCAACGTGTCGAATGTTG